CCCTACACCATGGCCCATGCCATGGCATCATAAGTTCTTAATGGCTCTGGCCCCACAATGGACCCTATAACACTCTAGTCTGGACCTCAACTAAATCCCTCCTAATCAGGCGGCGTACTCTGCCCTCATTCTGGGCTGCCAAGCTCCCTGCACTCTACTCCCTTTCAGCAGTGGCCCCCTCACTGGGACCTTTGGTTACAGGCCCTGGCCTCACCTCTCTCTAGGCCAGTCAGAACCCCAGGCCCCCTGGCTCTGGGCGTCCCTTGCAGTGGGCACTCTGGCCCTTTTGGTCCTGGCCCCAGCACTGACCAGTTGAGGGTGCCTCGAGTCAGGCTCCTGAGCAGCAAGCTCACTCTCTCTTATATGGGTCCACCTTCTCGAGTCCTACCGTGGGGGTTACCCTTCCAGGTATGGAGGCTGGGGTTTTAAGGCACCCCTCTTTGCCTTTCACCAGGGAGGTAACTCTCCTAGCATTTCTTGGGGGCTGTTCCGCCACAAATAGTCCCACCAGGCCACCCTTTGACAGCAGGGTGCAGTTTCAGGTCATGCCCAGGACCAGGACCATCCAAGCTTCCCCATAGCTCAGGGGTGGGCAAAATACAGCCTGCGAGCCACATCTGACCCACCAAGTACTTCCCTCTGGCCCATGGCGCCCCTTCAAAACCCAGGTAATGGTGGCTGCCTCTCTAAAAGCCTCCAGCAGCAGCCAGCAGCACCAGCCACAGCACCTCAGGCTGTTTCCTTGGGTTCTAGTTGTGAGACAACCAACTCTGACCTCAGCCTGACACAGCTGGCCACGCCCCAGCCCACCCCTGGCTCAGGCCACGTTTACAGCTTGAGAGGGGCAGAGGGGGCTGGGCCAGAAACTCTGGTGCCGGTGAGGGAAAACAGTGTCTGGGCCAGCTTCTGCTTTGCTGCACAGGACTGGAAAGGGCCCTGCCCTGCAGGTAAGCCCAGGAAAACGGCTGCTGTGCAGGCTTCCCCTGTGCCGTGCCATGTCACTCAGGCTGTGTGGGGTCGGGATGAGCTGGCACTGGGGAGGGGAAGCAGCAGCTGAGCCACAGCTCTGACCCAGTCAGCACCAGGAAGGAGAGGTGGTGGTAGAGCCGTTTACTGCTCAGGATGGGACGGGACGAGCCTGGCTGGAATGGCAGGGACTCAGCTGCACTTTCCCCCTACTTGCACCAGTCAGTCCTGAACGGCACACGGCTCCCGCTCGGGTCGGCACGGGCCCGCAGAAGCGGCAGTGGAGCAGCGTGCCGCTTGGGACCGACTGGTGCAGATAGTGGGGAAAGTGCAGCAGAGACCCTGCCGCTCCAGCCGGGCTCGTCCCGTGCCATCCCATCCCATCCGAAGCGGCACACAGCTACACCTCCGCTTCTGCTGGCCGGTGCAGACCCAGCCGGGCCCGTCCCATCTGGAGCAACATGTGGCTGAAGCCGGCTTCCCATGTGCTGCTGGGGACGGGGCGAGCCCGGCTGGGTCAGCACTGGCCAGCAGAAGCGGCGGTGGAGCATCTTGCCTTTTGGGACCAGCTGGCGCAGGTAGGGGGGAAAGTACAGCAGCATGTGGGGAAGCCGCCACTTTATAGGGGACACGATGGGCAGGCCTGGCCACACTGGGGAAGGAAAGCTGTGGCTGAGCCTCCTGCAGCTTGGGACGGGAGGGGTCCTACAGCACTGGTGGGTGCTGTGCTGGTGAGAGGACCTGGGCCTGGACTGGCTTCTGCTGTGCCACAGGGGGACCGGGGGGGGGGCCGCAGGCTGGGATAGGGCAGGACAGATATGGCAAGCAGGGCAGTTTGGTGCTGGATGGGCGAGTCTTATGACAGACCATATGACAGCCACCCCTCCAAATGGAGTACTTCCAGGGGCAAAGTGAGGGACTTCTAGTGGCAAAAGGTCAGGGGTTAGGGGGCGGTACTTCCGGTCCCAAGATAGCGACCAGGGGGTGGGTCAACTGTAGGGGTGGGGGTGCCCATGCAGCTCTCGACAGCTCACCAAAACTCATCAAGTGGCCCTCCACCCGAAATAATTGCCTGCCCCTACCCTTACCTCCAAGATGTTGTGAACCTCTGCTCAGCCGGGTGATGTTGCTTCCTAGGCTGCAAGCAACACACTGATGTCTCTACCAAGCTTGCCTTTGTCTGAAAATGGCCACCTTAATCAGGCACCTGCTGGCTGCCTGCTCCAGCCCTTAAAGTGGCAGGCACCAAAGGGGCACTGCCACAGTGGAAATTGAGGAAGGATGACCCCTGTGGTGCTTATGACACACACAACAGTCATGACCCAACTTGGGTTATGACCCTTAGTTTGGTAACTGCTGTCCTACTCAATGATATTAGGATATCCAAGGTAGACAGATTTATAGCAGAGACTAATTTCCTTCCAGGGGGTTTGGATGTGGTTTTAAGGATTTCATGTTGCCCTAACTACTATTAAAAGACAGGGGAGTAGGCAATGGAAGTAAGCAATTATGATTACTTCTAAGAATTTCACTTGAGTATCTACTTCACCTATGAGCATTTTTTGTGCAGCTTAGCTGTTCTTTGATGCACCATGGCAAATACCAATTCAAATAAATGCTGAGATGACCATTACCTTATATGCAACACCTAATGAATTTCTAGACTGCAGGAATCCCTTCCCTCATGCCTTCAGAAGAGATTTTCTAAAATATGGTCAAATCCTTCCATATAACAATCCCTAAATAAGCAGCCCACCTTGTAAAGGCAATGAGCATGTAAATTAATGCAGATTTTCAAGCCAGACTACTTACTTAAGCATTGGACTACAAACTAATGAGCTGAAATGTTGTACCCATTAAAAGTCTTTGGCTACTAGCTTCTTTTCTTATGCCACCAATTCTTTAAGTAACAGAAATTCAGATTTCTGTTCCAACTCTCAAATTCAATATATCCATTCTTATTTGTTGCACCTGTCCTGAAATTAAGATAGCAGAAATGAATTTTAATAAAAAAAGTTATTCATCTACAGCCTTCCAGATTTCTAGATATTAATGATATTAAAGCATATTCCCACTATGGCTTGTCAGAAATAATACCGTCTTTATTCTCCAAAAGTACCAGAACATTACTGAACCAAATTTCTTTTATTAAATTAAAAGTAACATGCTGACAATAGCCAGTTACAACATGCCCCTCTCCCCCCACCACACACCATTGCTTTCCATGGTGGGGAGGGGAGGAGGAGTACATACACACCCCCACAGCAAAGAGATTGCTGAATTTTATGTATGCTACTCTGAAAAGCTACTGTGTGTGTTTAAGAGCATGAACAGCAACATATAAGTTCTGAAGCCAGCATATAATTTTCAGTTATTTTCAACATTATTTCTTCTCTTACTAGGAAGTACCATAACATACTATCATTTAAATGCAGATGATATCTGTGCTTAAAAAAAAAAAAAAAAAAAAAAGCACCGTCTCTACTCTATAGTTTTACAATGATATAATACAAGTATAATACCAGAAAACTCACTTAGGACAGATGCTTTAGTACAAGGGTGCTCGATCCGTGGCTTGCAGGACAAATCCAGCCTATGGGGCTCCCCACAGCTCAGAAATATTTGGCAGTTGGGGGTGGGAAGCAGTGGTGGAAGCACTACATTCCCACTCCTTCACTGCCAAATTTTCAGACCCACTGGGAACCCTGGGGGCCAAATAACATGGTCCTATGTGCTAGATTTTGCCAGTGCATAGGGCCACATCTGGATGCATAGGGTTGCATCTGGGTGTCAGGGCATGACCCATATGTGATCCAGCCCGTGGACTGGCCCCATGTCACTTATCTGACCCATGAGGCCAAAAGGCTGGGTGCCGCTATTCTAGTATTCAACAGCATGCAACATCTACTAAGGCCAGAACATCTTCTGGTTTCACCTATATGGTCAAGGTAATGCCTGCATGTGTTGTTTAGTCAATCTAGAGTTTGGTCTTACTTTCTTTACAAGTTCTACATACAAGTGGCATAACCGAACCCTAAGCTGACCGGAGCATTTAGACAAGTGAACAAAATTACTACTTACCACAACAGAATCATTGCGAGTTAGATCAACTACTACAGGTTCAGAAGATTCACATGTGAGATCTACTACTTCTTCACCAGCTTAAAGACATAATATTATAAGTCAAGATCACAAGTGTGCACAGGTACCTGTCATTCCATAACAAAGCTGACTTCTGATTCTATAAAGTGCTCCCATACTAAATGCATGCTAAATGCCCAGTTAGTTTTTACCATCTAGTTCTTCAAAACAGACACCAAGTATTTTTCTTGTTATCCTCACCCTCAAATTGACAAAGAGTAAAAGTCTACTTTTGCATGGCTTGATTTGCTGCAGTAGAACAGCAGCAGTGTATTTTGACAAACTTGAGTGAGGCGTTATCTGAATAAGCAGACTGAGGCAGACGGAAAGGGAGAAAAAATTATTTGGGGGCGCTCCTTCCTAGAAGGTAAGTCCCACCCAGCTGGGACCCCACTCAACTTAACCTTGCTCCTGCTTCTGCAACACTGTCCTTCACCGCAGTGGCTTCAATCTAGTCCCCATCCCTCCCCTCCCCCACAGACTGACCTGCTGGGCTGGGGTGCATGCCTGCTTGTACACAGGCACTCAGCCCCCCCACCCCAGACTTGGATCGACTCCAAGAGGCTCCGAGATCTATTGGTGGATTGAGATCCACTGGTTGGTGACCACTGCTCTAAGTTTTAGAGTAGCTAGGTAGAAAGTGGGTTCCTACTACTCCAGGAGGAAGTTACTATTTCCAGATTAAAAAGACAGCTTACCACTTTCTTCAAGTTCTATTGGCTCTGCTTCTGAAGCCATCTCTGTAGCTGAAGCTGCCAGCCTACTTCGTTTTTGAGTTTGCCTAGAACCAATTTCTCCTCCACGACGTTTTCTTTGAGTCTAAGATTAAAAAAAAAAGACATGTCAAAATTTTTTTTTAAAGCTAAGATTAATATAATCTTGTTTTTTGTTTATAAACAGAAACCTAAAAGTACTCTATTTAACTATGGTCTGAAGTATATAGTTTTGGGTCGTTCCAACACCTGAACTAGGAATAACAGAGGAAAGGCATCAACACTAAATTTCCCCCCATTTGGGCCAAGCAGGAAAGGTGTATTATCATTTGCAAACAAAAGGCCTAGATCACAATGCTCAGTCATTCTGGGATTCCACTGACCACTTCAATCAGTCTGGCCTAAAACATGCCCTATAATCCAAGGTGCTTTTGGATTAATGCCATCAATATCTAGAGGCATTAGAATATTTAAGCAGGACACATGATTACAGCAACTTTCAATTTGCTTTTGTGCAATCTAGTGTACATAGATATTGTAATAAAGCATGTACTGCTTATAGAAAAAGCACAAATTGCTACAATCTAAAAATTCCAGAGCATTTGAGAACTGGAATAACGGACTGATTTCATTAAACAAAAATACTTACTGTGCTCATGGTATTTCTTGGATAAAAACTACAGAAAAAGTAAAAGGTACAAATATCATAAAATAAATTGCAAGGAAGCTACAATTTTCAAATTTCTATGTTTAGGTAGCATACAGTTAAAAGTCCAGATTTCTTTGTATCTTAGAATGGCGCTCTTCCAAACCTATAAAGAAAAGAAGAGAGACGATTACTTAGCTGAAATTCTTGTTCTCTTAAGTATAACCATCACTACAGATTCCCATTTTTGAATAACTGGGGGGGCGGGTGTTTGATTTTGCCCTGAACCAAGCAGAATCTCCCAGGGTTTAAGATTTTAGCCTCCGAAACAGGTATGCCTGAAGCATTTACCATGATGTTCTACAGCTAACAACTACTCAGAGTCGGTCAGAAATACCTGGAAGCCACAATTAGCTTTTCTTTCAAGCAAAAGATGGTAAATTCTCACATGTGCAAAGAAGTTACAGAATCCTCAAACTGAAGGAAGGGGTAGGGAATGGTAAGCGTAAGTGGCCATATTCAGAAAATTAAAATTACCCATGAGAAATTCTCTTTTCTACAGGAGAAATTCATCTCCATATTCCAACTTTTGGAAGTTAAACAGCTTGAGGAAGGGGCTATCAGGTTGGGAAGATGGCTCTAAAATAAATAGAATATAGAAGCAGCAGCATAGAGAATGAAAAAGAAAGATTCTCCCTTGTAATATAAAACAGCAGAATTCCCGTTTGGCAAGAAAGATATCCATTGGTATCATATCAATGGAAGCAATACATCTTTAAAAACCAACTCCACAGCAAGCAGTCCTACTGAACTTTAAGTGGTAGACAAAGAGATAGCCCTAACAGACACTGTTAGACATAATTTTGGGCATAGATGTCGCTAAATGATTTTAAGAAAAAAAGAACCCATGTGACTGCTTTGGCTGTCTTTTACACCGAGAGATCTGGATGTGTATGTCAAAATGTGTTCCATCTCAAAATGGCTTTGACAGGAGGACTTTGCAGTTCAGAAGGCTTGCCAAGCTTCAAAAGTAAGGGATGCAATCATCAAGTCATAAACATTACATGTAAAAATAAAAGAACCCACTGCACTGGGTATGAGAAGCAGCAAATCACTAGGCTGAAATCAGTCTCTCTCACATGGAGTTTAGTGACTTTGCATTTGATCTATCCTTTACAGCCATATTTGATTGACAGTGCCCTGAAGACTGTACACTGGAAAAGGATATTGTCTATCCTTACTGTAGGTGTTTGAATTGTGGTCAGCATGGATCCTACTGGAAGAATCTAGTAAGCAAGATCCTCTTCAGGATAGTGAGAATTAAGGGAGACAGCTGCAAGCAGGTACAGGAACACAGCTCTTCTAAATCTAGTACTGGATCTTGCTCCAAAGTCCACTGCAACATACTTTACAAACACCCTCATACTGAAATATTTTAGAAACAGACCTTGATAATGTCTGATCTTCAAGAGAATGAGCCTTGATGAAAAATTCAGAACAATGTTCATTTACCTACTGATAATTAACGCACTGAATGATGCAATCTACTTAACCAGTATTTGTGGTCTTAAACTGTCCTTAACAGGTATGGGTAAAATAAATGACTGTCTGTCAATATTATGTCACTAGGGCTAAAATTGTTAAGACAGGCCTAAGCTATTTAGATTTCTTCTATTTGCTGTAAAATATGACTTAGGGAAGAACATAGGTAAATTAATCAACTGGTTTACATGAAACTCAGATATGACTTTGTGGTGCAATTAAATAAGGCCTCAAAACTACTAAGTCCTTGTAGAATGAGGTATACAGGGGTTCTGCTGCTCAACTAGTCTCCTGGCTGAGGTGATGGCCACCAGGAAGACTGCCTCAAGAGTGAGATAATAAATGGAGCAATTCATGTAGGGCTTGAAAGGTGATGCCATAAGCTTAGGAAGATACTGTTGCGGTACTATGCCAAGCAGGTTCTGTGATCAGTGGTTAGATACACATCAGACCCTTGAGAAATTGATACCAAAGGGGAGGAAATTAAAAACAGGTGCATCAGAGGTCAATATGCCAGTATTGCTATTAACCAGACCTTTCCCATCTGGCTCAATTGGGGAGAAGCCTTATCTTGATGCCTTTCCTCTGTTATTACCAGAGGAAAAGAGTAAAACAGACCAAAAGCTACAATCAACCTTAAAGATTCAGGATGGAGGAACAATGAGGCCAATCCATACCATCTTAAGCAGTTCTATGGACCCCATCATAATACTGAAGTACCTTGCCGTATTTAAGATATTTGTCCTTTAATAGAACCACTGTAAGCTGGAAAACGCTGGTGCTGAGGTAGTATTAAGATGCTTCCTTTCTTTACCCACAAAAGCACCAAGATAGACCGGGGGGGGCGAGAGAATGTGCAAGGTACACTTATAAAACACTACAGGCTCGTGTTTGTATTCAGTAGAACCCAGACCATTAGCAGGGTTAGGTTTCTCAGCCCTTAAAAAGATCGAAAGCTTACATAACCAACCAGGAGTAAATCTAGCCACAAACAGCGGTCTGATTTTAGGGTGCTCAAGCTAAGTAGAAGCTGCATTTAAACAGGTGTGCTGCTCATCCTTGACTTGGCACAAGCTGTTACACATTAAGCAATTTATGAACTACAGGCAGTCCTCAACTTCTGACTCTGAGTTACAACAAACAAGATTTACAACATTTGAAAAATGACATCGTTTCGAGGTTCCAATGTGGGTTTTGCCTTTGCAACACTCAACACAGCTGCATCCAGCTGGTAAGTCTGTTCTGGTGGGGGGAGGTGGGGGTAGGAGGTAGAAGGGACTAACTGATGCACCCGCAACAGGGGAGGGATTTCAGCTGGGGCTGGGGCAAGCTGCCCAGCCAGGGTAGGTGGGGGTGGGGCAGGTGAACGGGGCCAGGGCTGGGCTCCAGGCAGAAGGCATTGGGAGTGGGGGCTCTGCCCTCCTGCCGCTTGCCCAGCCAGGGCAGGGGGGCATGGGACAGAGCTGAGTTCTGGCCTCCCTATGCCTCCCAGACAAGCCACAGCTTTGCCTCACCCTGCCCCGCCCCAGCTGGGTGAGCAGCAGCAGCGCATTGCGGAGGCACATGGCCCCAGATCTGCACAGGGCAGATGGCGGAGCTGGGGCTACGGAGGGGCTGCAGCCACCCTAAAATTCCCCATAGCCCCCACTGCCCATCCGGAGCAGCCCTGGCTACCCCAAGCAGATCCAGGGGCACACACCCCCACCATGTCCTGCCGCTGCCCGGCCTGCCAGGGCGGGGCGAAGCTGCGGCTCATCCGGGAGGTGCAGAAGAGGGGCGGCTCCTACTCCTGCATGCCGCTTGTCTGAGACAGCGCAGCAGCTCCGTCCTGCACCCCGCAGCTAGGTGAACAGCGGGAAGGGATAGCCCCTGCTCCCAGCATCACTGTACCTGCCTGGAGCTAGCCACGCCTGCGTCTAGCACCCCCCTGCCCTGGCTGGGTGAGCAGTGGCAAGGCATGGTCCCCGCTCCCAATGCTGCTGTGCCCTCCCTGCCTGCCCCATGCAGATCCAGGGGCACATGCTCCCTGTGCCCTCCTGGACCAGTGGCGCACAGCAACGGGAGCCGCCCCACCCTCTCCCCAAGTCCCACACCCATCCCACACCCCAGCTGGGCAGCTTGTCTCAGCCCCTGTCCCTCCCTCACTGCAGGGCCTCCATCTGCCCCTCCATTCCCCCCCCCCCCCCCCCCCCCCCCCCGGAGTTACCAGCTGGACACAGCTGCATCAAGCCTGGTAAAGGAACCAATCCCCAATTTGTACCATTGTTCTTATAGGAAAATTGGTTCCGAGTTATGACATTGTGACTTGTGATGTGGTTTTCAGGAACCAATTGTGTCCTAAGTCTGAGGACTGCCTGTATTCCAATATGAATAGTCCAGATTCTACTATGTCTTTTGGCATTTCAGACAGAACTTGAAAGAAGCAGAGCTGAGTAGGTGACAGTGGAAGTGATTCTTTTTTGTACAACTGCTTGAAAATCACCAAGCAGTTGAGTTTGCAAGGGAAACCAAACTTCTAAAACTCTCTCTTTTCTATATCTTGTACTTTAAGGACTAAGAACATCATCCTCAGACTTATTCAGGTACCTTAATTTTACTGAAGACCTGGGCCTAGTCCTAATAAGCACCAGCTTTCAGTCTGACATGGAGAAGATGCCTTTGCCCACCCAACCCGAGAGAACTGTAGGAATATTAATAAAAAGAAATAATTAGTGAAAGATGGAACTCTGAGCTGAACGTATTTTCTTCCATTGCAATTACACTTCCAAGGTTCAGATTACAATCTAGTTGCTTACATTCTTCTGAAACTTATTCTACCGTTACTGGAACTTAAGTGCCTTTAAATTTAGAACTAGTAACTTAGGGACAACCATCTACAAACAGTTTCACTGACAGTGACAAAGACTTAAGTAGGCATTCAACAGCTATTCCAACCCAACTAATTTTAAGAAATATACTTCAGTGAAAGAAAAAAAAAAAGTTTACATAGTTGCTCATATACCACCACAGTAATACAAAATATTTCACTCCCCAACTTTATCATCAGCCACAAGCTATCTAAATCTTCATCTTAAAAAGCTTACAGGTTCCTGTTGTATTTAATGCTAGCTTCTTCCTATTGGGTAGGTCTTTTCTTACTCATATGTAACCTTGACTCATAAAAGTAGCAGAGCTTTACAAACCAAGGAAAAAATGCAGCATAATGATAAATTATCTTTCACAGACACAAGTGCTACACAAGGGTTCATAACAATGAACTAGAGAAGTAGTAGCAGCTGAGTGTTCGTTGCTGTAGAGTGTTTTATCTGATCAAATTCTCTGAATAGAAACTGAAAGTACACACATTATAGCTTCTGGAGTAGCAACCCCCATTGCAAAGGTTAAATACGGAATCTCATAAAACAACCTCATTTTCTTTTCCTCAAAATCTTGTTATAAATTGTTTTTCTTGGGGACTACAACAACCCTCGCCTGTTTGCAGACCAGAGGTCGCTCACTCTGGGAAGCCTGAAGCAATTCTCCTTAATTAACTGAGCTCCAGAACGGAGTAAGAGAAAGACAGCAAAACGTATTTTCTTGGACACGTTATGGATTCTTTTTGCCTACCAGTAATCTAGGTGTAGGCAAACAGTGCCAAACTTCACGTATTTGGAGTGAAACTCACCCTTTCCACCATTCCTAAAGTCGACACTCTCCAAAAGATCAGGGCCACCTCACTCAGTGAATAAATAATGTGATGGTTTTATAAAATAACGAATGGTCCATTGAAGGTTGGCATGGTGTTCAACACATAGCTAAACCTGAATTGTAAAGTCTAATTTTAGGCATCTATTTTTAAAAGATTTGATCCCTGAGGAAAAGTAAACAGATGCAAGTGGATTTTTTTAAAGGAAGAGAATTCATATACAATTCAAATAACTAGTCATGAGATGTTGCAGCAAAAAATTTAGAATACAACGAGGGATTACTATTCATTCAAATATCCATAGCAACAGTAGGACAGAAAAAACCCATAATATGTACTAGAGCTTATGGTTTACTGCAGACTAACAGCTCTCCTGATAAAACTTAGTGGTTAGGGAATAACAAGCATATCTTTTAACAATCAAAAAGATTTTCTGCTGAGGCAGATCTACATTTTAACCAAGAAAAAGATTGTCCATTGGCCAATGGACAGCTAAAGGTCTCTATTTAATTGTCTCAGTGGGCACCTTCATTAACAACTTTATGCTCCTTTTCTTTTTGAGGAGGCATGGTTAGAATTTTGTTGCAGCCAGTAGGGTTCAGGAAACATAAGCAGCAAGGATTTTTTTGAGATACTTTTCGTTAGACCAAGTCTATAGTTGGGAAAGAAGTTAAAAAAGCTTTCAGGTACAAAGTTTCAGGCCCTTCCTTGGGTCTGGCAAAGAAACAGACTGGTGTTTGTGTCCAAAAGCTTGTCTAACTTCTCTCCCAACTATACAGTTGGTTCAATAAAAAAGAAAAATATCACCAAAGAAAAACAAACAAACCAAAAACAGCCCCTGCCTCCCCCCACCAAAAAAACAACAATGCTTATTTTTGTGAAAGGAAGAAAAAAAAAAAATGGAAAACTCTGGCTTCAATCCAGCAAAGTGCATGTTTAACTGGAACTACTAAATGTGCAAAGTCATGCGCATGTCCAAGTCTGCAAAACTAGAGTCTCATTTAGTTACTATGACAAGATCATCCCTTGCAGTAGCATTTTACTACTGTTCTCTAAACACTGTTTTCTACACAGTGAGGACCCACTAATACAGGGGTCAGCAACCCACAGCACATGTGCCGAGCATGGCACGCGAGGCCATTTTCCTCAGAACGCGTTGGGGCTGGGGAGGCAGCAGCTGTTTGCTCTGGGTAGCTGCTGCCAGCCAGGAGCCCAGGCTGCTCCCAGCAGGCAGCTGGTATGCTGTAAGCCCTGCTGGGAGCAGCCCAGGCTCCATGGCTATCAGCAGCTACCCAGAGCTAGGGCTGGCTGCAGCTGGGAGGCTACAAAACAGCTGCTGCCTCCCCACCCCCAACCCCAACGGGCACAGTGCCCCGGCACCTGCTGCCTTCCCAGAGCCTGGGGCCAGGAGACAGCTGGGGCTGGCCCCAGCTCTGGGTAGCTGCTGATAGCCATGGAAGCCCTGCTGCAAGTAGCCCAGGCTCCGTGGCTATCAGCAACTACCCAGAAACTGGGCCAGCTGCAAACATCTGCTGCCTCTCTGCCCCAGCCCTGGCCCCAGCCCCAGGGAGGCAGTACATACCAGCAATGCTCCCCGTTGCATTGCCCTCGCCGCTTCTACAAAGCAGCGTTGTAACCTGGCACGGCAGGACACAGCTGGGGGGGGCAGAAAGCTGCCTGTTCCCAGCTCCCCGCTGCCCTGCCACACTTCCCCTGTGTGCACTGGAGCAGTGTGGGCAGCAGCGCAGTTATGCCCTTCATTGCTGCCCCCGCCTGCAGGGGAAGTGTGGCAGGGCAGCGGGGAGCTGGGAGCAGGCAGCTTTCTGCGGGGCAGCAGGGCTGGGGGACAGGGGCAAAAGCAAGCCAAAAAACGTTGCCTACCCCTGCACTAGTATCATTATTATATTGTCTCTTCTGGTTTTACCCAAGGAAGTATATAATACAGGTATGGAAGTAGGTTAAAGGCAGCAGATAACAACAGACTTCTAAGCCAGGGGTGGACAAAATATGGCCCATTTTATCTGGCCCACAGGGCCCCTAAAAAAATGTAGCAAATTATTATTAATCTGTTCTTGGTTCCTGTCAAAGATGACAGGAACCAGGGGCAGGAGGGCCCAGGGGAAGCCCTAGTGGGCTCCTGCAACAGCAGGGCCCGTCTGGCCCTGCCCCCACAGCCAGAAGCCCCAGAAGGGGGCTCATGCTGGGCAGCCCAGAGGCAGCGGTGGCAGCCTCACTGCAGCATGAGCTCTGGGCAGGCAGCAGCAGCAAACACTGCCCGGTGCGGCAAGTGGGGGGGCCCACAGCTGTTCCCACTGTGGCACAGCCCCGACAGGTGAGCCCGGAGACGGTACAGAGCCCAGGCTGGCAGCGGGGGCAGCTTACAATTTTGGTGCCGAGCATGGGGAAAAGTGGCCCCTCCCCCATCCCATGGCCGGTGCCCCACACTGCAGCTGCTCGCAGCCCCCATGGGGCTACCCGTGCTTGCTCAGGACAGCTCTGCGCAGGCTGAGAGCAGCTGCAGTGGGGAGCATGGGCAATGGGGTGGGGCCGCTTTCCCCCTTGTGCTCAGCACCAGCTCATGCCCTCCTGGTGAGCACAGGGTCAGTGCTGCGCACTGCACCACACCTGTACCGCGGGACTGGGGAGGCATTGGGAGTGTGCGGCCATGGGAGCCAGCGGGAGTGTGGGGCCCACACCCGTGTCCTGGGGCCAGTGCCGGCAGGGCCCAGAGCAGGACAGCTGGAGTACAGGGTCCCAGCTGGCAGGGGCTCTATGGAGCCAAGCCAGCTCCCACCTCCCTGCTAGTGCAGCCCAGTCTAGCTCCACAGACCCCTGCCAGCCTGCGCTCCGCTGGCACTGGCCCTGGGACATTGGTCCTAAGACATTGGTCCCAAGATGGTGACCGGGGGCAGGGCACCTGTCAAGGAGCGGGGCTACCCATGCAGTCCTCGACAGCTTGCCAAAACTGGGTAAGCGGCCCTGTGCCCGAAAAAACTGCCCACCCCTGTTCTAAGCACATTAGTCTGTAGTTGAAGATTATGCTGTTAATACAAGCCAGACATCTGTTTTAGGTTGAAATGGCTTATACTAAGGGACCTACCTAATTCACAGAGGCTTCCTCCAGATTTTGTGGTCCCAACATGGTGTCGGGTGCATTTTTTGTGGCAGTGTGATGGGCCCCCCACGCCTCTGGCCACGAGGCCCCAGAGGTCCCACCTGTCCCCAGAGATTAACAGGTGTCCCCTGCCAATCTCTGGGGAGGGGTGGGAATTCCAGGACCCCTTGGTCACTCTCTCCCCCCACCACCCCTGGTGCTCCAGGATGCCAGGGCTTCCCACTGTTTTCTGTTTGCAGAAACAGAAGCTGCCTTCCCCCAACCCCCACTGGTTTGCTGCTGTTTTCTTGCTTTTTCATGGGGGACCTACCAAATTTGCAGTTTCTGCATAAACTGTGAAATCATGAATTTGGCAGATCCCTACTTATATTGAAATGTAGCTGAAGTGCATTTAAAAGGCCACTTCTGGCTGCATTGAATATTGCATGTTATATACTGGGTTTGAAACTACATATATTTGTGAGACTAAATACATTTTTCTTCTTTCAAAGCATTTGGGAAGCAGCACACACTGACTCCTTTAGTCCCACAAGAGGTAGGGACCACACTGTTCTCACAAAAGATAACCTTGGGAAGGCAAAATGTCCATGGAAATCCAACAAGATTCCAATGCCTTTAATAAAGGGAAACACTTTGAGAGGCGTATATGCGGCAGGCACAGGAAAAAGAAAAAAGATTGCAGGCCTTCCAGTGTCCAGCAACACGTCGGGCAAATAAAATGGGGACTAGGACGCTAGCCCTCTTTACTAAGATTCAACACTAAAAATAAAAATTGAGGCCTTGAAAGAAGAGAAACTGAATGTTAGCTATGTCCCAGCTCACTGAGTTAAAGAAGTTGATGGGTGCAGAAAACCCACAAGGCAAATCTATCTTCATCCTCTCCACCCCAATAATACTTCTAATCTCCCCAGGCATTTTTTAACATAGCCATTCCCTCCATCACACAACACAACACAGTACTA